TGGAACGTTGTCTCGGACAGCGTTTTACACTCAGTTTTTTTTAAAAAAAAATTCAAGAAATAAAACGCTGCCTCAGGCAGCGTTTTATGGTAGTTTGACTTTTTTCAAAAACTTCGTATTTCATACCTGTTTTATACAAATAAACGCTGCCTGAGGCAGCGTTTATATCTTTAAATGAAACGCTGCCTCAGGCAGCGTTTAATGTACAAGCATAAAACGCAGCCTGAGGCAGCGTTTTTATCTGTACATTAAACGCTGCCTCAGGCAGCGTTTCTTGCGGGAATTATAACGAATTCCAGGCCTTTTTTTTCTCAATCTCTTTCACGCAATTTACACACTCTCTCTCACTAACTCTCATTGTCAGCAACAAAGAACCACAGCCGTTGCCAACGCCTCCCCTGCCGTGTAGCCGCCCCTGCCGCCGCCAAAGTGAACGGAAGTTGTTGCCGGCATTGTCTCACTCACTCTTTAAATCCGGGTAAACCCTAAATTTGTAGCACATTGTTGAATTTTACATTGAATAGTTGGTAGTAGATAGTTGTTGTATGTTGTAGCAAATTGTGATGTAAATTGTATTAATTTGTTGCTAATTAGTAATGAAATGTGATAAATTGTTGATAATTATTGATGATAATGTGGTACATTGTTGAGGAAAAATATAGACGAAATTGTTGATTAAATTGTCGACGAAATTGTTGATGAAATTGTCAATGATAATGTGGTTTGTTTTTGATGAAATTGTTGATGGTAATGTGGTCTATTATTGTGAAAAAAATGATAAAATTGTTGATGGTAATGCGGTATTAGTATGTTGATAGTTGTATGCGGTACTAAGAGTTTATGAAATTGGTGATGAAAATGTTGATAATGAGAATGGACTTGTTTCATTGTTGTCATATTAGCTACACATGTAGGTTCTCGAAATTTGATATAACTTTCCATTATCGAAGCTATGTATGTTATGTATTGTTAAATTAGGGTTTTTTGGCGTTGTTTTAGAATTCGATTATCCTTAAATGTGTTTTGGTTGGTATGTAGAATATGGCGTCACAAAATGTAGTGTTGTTATGCCGGTGGGGAGGTGAAATTATGTGCGATGGATCAAATGTTGAGTACAGTGGAGGGAATATGGAACTTATAACACTTGAACCGAACATGACTGTGAATGATCTGATGAATGAGGTTCACAGTGAACCGAACACACTGTTAACTTCCAGTTGAGAACCTGTACATGCAACAAACCCCTGATATTCCACCTTCCATGCTCTCATGTTCTACCAGTGTGTGCGACTTATTCACTGTCCGAGAGGCCATGGGTGGACCCTTTCCTGCAATCGGATGCGTATATGAACACGTATGCACCACAGTTCTGGCCTATTCCATGTGAGGCCACTTGGACGCAGTACATAGGACCTAGACTCATCCCGGACGCCAGCATGGTAAGAGGAAAAGGTCGGCCAAAGTCAAAGCGCATACGCAATGAAATGGATGACACTAACCGACCTAGGACTAAATGCAGCCGCTGTCACCAACAAGGTCACAATCGCAAAACGTGCCCAGCTAGATCAACCGAAACATAAGCTTGTAATTGTTTAGCTATAGTAGTAGAACAGTAGATTCATGTAGTAGTTGATTAATGACGTTATGTAACATTTGTAACGCTTGGATTATATTTGAGATTTGGTGACTTATATTTCGTACTTGTCTTTTACCTGTGACAGTCATGTCAATTTCATTGACTAGTAATTCTGTTTTTTAATTGGTTTGGCCATATTGTTTTGAATGAACAGATATCATGGTCGGACACGATCGGATACCAGGACCACTTGACCCTTCTGTCCTTACACTGCAGGATAGACATCGGAGTGTTGACATATGGGAGCAGACGGTAATTTCTCACGTGCCATTTCATATACAGATTTGTCTTGTTTTTTTGTATACTTGACCCTTATTTACAGTTTTTAAATGAATTACCAGGTGGACATAGCGGAAATGTTGGGGTGCAGGCACTTGAGGTCCAGCTGGGAAGTCGATCCACGCGTTCTTCAGTACGTCGACTGGGTTGGCTTTGGTGGTATTCATCGCGTGGGCTACAGAGAAATAGATCGAGGACTTATCACAACATTAGTTGAGAGATGGAGGCAGGAGACACACTCCTTCCATCTTCCTGTGGAGGAGGCGACAATCACGCTGCGGGACGTCGCGATACTCACACACCTTCCCATCCATGGGAATGCAGTGACAGGGGGTGTGGTACTTGACCCCGCAGGTTTAGTAGGTCGGGTTTTAGGGGTTCAGCCAGAGCCAAACGAGATCAGGGGCAGCGTGCTGAGGACCGGTTGGCTATGCGACACTTTTGGACATTTACCTCAGGACGCTGACGACGCCACAGTGCAGAGATACGCCCGAGCTTACTTGTTCCTGCTCATCTCGGGCGTGCTCTTTGGAAACAAGAGCGGAAGCCATCTTCAGATTATTTACCTGCAGCTGTTAGACCACGACTGGGATGAGATCTGTGGATACAGTTGGGGTAGTGCTTGTTTGGCGGTCTTGTATCGCCATCTGTGTAGAGCATCACAGCGTGGAGCACAGCTGATTGGAGGTCCTTTGGTTGTGCTACAGGTAAACCTCATCATTATCCTTAAGCCTAGTCTGATAATGACTTGACGTTATTTATGCTTTACCTTTTATTTGATTTTTAAAACAGCTATGGGCTTGGGAGCACATCCATGTAGGGAGACCAGGTAGGCCTGTTGTACACCGTCCAGGGCAGCTGGACCAGGACGATCAGTACGCAGCATACGATGCTCCCCCGCTCCCTGAACCCGATCAGGCATACGGTTGTAGGTTCGTAACATTATACTTGTGTACTCAAATTTTGTTATAATTAGCTAGTACAACTTCTTAAATAATTTGTTGCCACAGGTGGGTGGTTCCCAGACTAACACATGCGCATACAGCGAGAGGTCTTCTCTACTACCGTGACGCCCTCGATCGACTCTCGGATGAACAGGTGGAATCTTGCACTAAATTTGTAATCGTTTGTTTACTCTTTATACTGTTTATTGGCATTGCCCTAACCTTTTCACGATATATCCTTGTTGCAGAGGACATGGGATCCCTATTCTGCTGTGTTGGTAGAGGCCACGCCGGAACACTTGCTCGAGCATCGTGCTGAGTTGCTTTCCAGGACCCCATGATCTGTTTCGAGGTCGTGGAGAGCCACCTACCGAGCCGAGTGTTGCGACAGTTCGGACTTCACCAGCCTATCCCCATGCCCTGTGACACTAGTATTCGCCTCCACGGCATTGACCGTCGTGGAAAGTTGGAGACAAACTGGGCACTGGAGCATCATCAATTCATTGAGCTTTGGGGCCAGCGGTTGGAGTCCATCGTTGACGGTCACCTGTTTCAGGGTGTTATGGATCCGCGTGATCCTTACATGGTATGGTACAGGCAGATTACACACCTTTTCATCAACCCTACCTACACCCCACCGTCCACGCACTACCATCCAGCTTATGATGTTATCAGCGGACTTGTGAGTTTTTTCAGTTTCTTGTTTTCCAAAATTATTTGAAATTCTATATCATATTACTAATTCATGGATGATTACTGCAGGCGGGGGATATGGGTGCGATGGTTGATGCACTTTCAGATAACTTAGCAGCCGTACCCACCAGAGCCCAGGTTGAGCAGGTACGAGATATGGGCATACATAGCTTGCAGAGATATGGCCATGGCCATCTCGTCCACCCCAGGGACGATCATGACCCCAACTCCTTCCATTCACAGTTCGACTTCGGACAGAGTAGTGGTGAAGGTCATACTTCGGGCTCTACACAAGCAGAGGATTACTTCATCCATAACACCGCTCCCGGCCACAGCCAGGATGACTCATCGTCTCGCCAGCTGACTTCTCCACCGTCCCGAGACCCATTCACCACCATTCAGCATTACATGAGGCGTCCGAGGCGTGTTCGTAGATGGACGGAGGACACACAGGATGGAGATCAGTTAACTCCAATACATGAGTCCGGATAGTATTAGTTAGTTGATCCTTTTGTGGTACTCAGATATTTAACAATGTTGTATATAACGCTTACATTATTAATACAAGAAATGTTTTCTAAATGACTCTCTGTACAATTTGAAGTTTATTTCCCTTATTTGTCTGAATTTGACTTTTGTTAGTGAAACTATATCTTTTATATCCGTTATATGTATCAAGCAACATATATTTGGTCTCCTGCACTTAAAGTGCTGTTTCACGATGGTTATCATGCTGTTGGGGTTGTTTCCAGTGTTTGATGGTTGTTGGTGGTGGTCGATGGTGGTGGAAAGGTTGGGGCTGGTGGTGGGAATGCTCTTGCGTTGTTTAGGGTGTTTTATGGTAGTTTATGGGTGGTTGAGAGTGGCGGGCGGTGGTGGTGGGGGAGGTGGTTGATGGTGGTGGGGGTGGTGGTTAATGATGGGGGTGGTGGGAATGTCCTTGCATTGTTTAGGGTGTTTTGCATTGCATAGGGGTGGTCGAGAGTGGCGGCCGGTGGTGGTGGGGGAGGTGGTTGATGGTGGTGGATGGTGGTGGGGTGGTGGTTCATGGTGGGGCTGAGCTGATGCTGCTGGGTGAGGGTTATGTGTAGGAACAGCAACAGATTGCAGAAACTGCTGGTGATGCAGTGTAGCAGATGCTGCTGGTAATGCAGTCTAGCAGAAAAACGCTATCTGAGACAGCGTTTTACTTCTTGATTTTTTTTTTAAAAAAACTGGGTGTAAAACGCTGTCCGAGACAGCGTTTCACCCCAGAAGCTTAGTTTGGGAAATACTTTTCCCACGAGACCAATTTGGTAAATAATTTACCAATAAAGCTCAATTTGGGAAAAAATCCCAAGCTGAAGGGGAAACAATGTCAAGTTTCTGTCATTACTCATTTTTCAATGTAGATTTTATCTAGTGTGCGTGTATGAGTATGCTTTAAGTAAAATCACTCAACATTAATTATGGATAAAGCACTTAATAACGAATACTTGGATAAGTATTCTAAGGCTATAAGCTTAATGAAGAAGCTCCCTGAAGATGATCCGCGAAGCTTCATCCAACAAGCCAATGTGCATTGTGCATATTGTGTGGGGGGACACTATCATCAACTAGGGTTCCCGGGTTTCGATTTTCTTATACATGACTCTTGGTTATTTTTTCCTTTTCATAGGTGTTACATATATTTTTTTGAAAAGATTTTAGGCAAATTAATTGATGATCCATCATTTGCTTTGCCTTTTTGGAATTGGGATCATCCTGATGGTATGTATATGCCCTCTATATATACAAACCCGACATCAACCTTGTATGACCCATTTCGAAATGTAAGTCACCTTCCCCTAACCTTAATGGATCTTTCCCACGACGGGGATGATAATAATGAACTTTCCCCCAAAGAGTTGATAGACTCAAATTTGGCAATTATGCATTGCCAAATGGTATCCAATGCCAAGAACCCAACACTGTTCTTTGGTAGGGCTTATCGAGCAGGTGATGAGCTACCAATAGGATCCGGGACAATCGAGTTAATGCCACACAATGTAGTGCACAATTGGACGGGAGATCCAACCCAACCTAATGGGGAGGATATGGGTATATTCAATGCTGCAGCTCGAGACTCAATCTTTTATGCCCACCATGCTAACGTGGACCGAATGTGGGTGCTATGGAAAACCCTAGGAGGTAAGAGGAAGGACATTGAAGATTCCGATTGGTAATGTTTCATTCCTTTTCTATGACAAAATGCCCAACCAGTACGAATTAGGGTTCGAGATTGCTTGGATCACAAGAAACTCGGATACATATACCAAGATGTTGATATCCCGTGGCTTAATTTTAGGCCCAATTCTTCTAAGATTAAGCAAGATAAATTGTTGTCTGTTGCAAAAAGGAGGGAAGATTCAACATCAGGGATTACACTTCCTAGAACTTTAGACTCTACTATACGAACACGAGTGGCAAGGCCACAAAAATTAAGGAGCCAGAAGCAAAAAGAAGACGAAGAAGAGGTGCTAACGATTAACTTGGAGTTGTCACGAATGGATAAGTTTATCAAGTTTGATGTATACATTAATGAAGAAGATGATCATCCTAAGAGGAAGAGTCGTGTGAACGCTGAGTATGTCGAATGTTTTGTGAGTTTGCCACACAAGCAACACAAAACTAAAGATCGTAATAAAAAGACTTGTTTGACAATAGGGTTGACAGATTTGATTGAGGATCAAGGAGTAGATGGCGATGATAATAGCGATGTGATATTTGTGCCTAGAGCTGGATTAGATGCAGTTGTCATCATTGATGTGAAGATTGAATTCATTTCTTGATGGTGGTTATATGATTACATCTACTAAATTACTCTTAACTTATTGTCATTTACTCAATCTCATATGGACTTGTATATAATTAGATGCAACTATACAAGTAATGCATAAATAAGTCTTATTGCGAGTTGTAATAGATAATTTCACATAAATTTATACATGATAATCATGGGAGAAATAAAGCATCTATCCTACATTGTTTATTCGAGGTTAGTATATGCTAATTAAACATTTCCATAATTCAACAGTTTCGTTTCTCAACGCGATATGGCATGAATGAAAATAAAAGCAATAGATTGATTGTGTTTGAATTACATTGTCCACCTAATTAATAAAGTGTTTATACACAGATCGAAATTGGAGTGCAGTTCAACACTTATTGAAATTTTTTCCATACAAAGTGAGAAAAGAGTACTTTATTAGGATGGAGGTATATTCCAAGGAAATCATCTTGACACATTCCATATATTATGAGAGCGTATATTTCTATACTCTTCTCACACAAATGCTTGCTAATATCAATTTAAAGTGTGACTAAATCTTTTTTTTTTTAATTTTATTTTTTAACAAACTCTACATAAATCCTTTTAGTTATTATACTTCGTATAAATTTCAATTCTATTACGAAAGTTCCACTAAGTAGATTCACTTCAATCAATCGTCACTTTGTCAAGATCAACCCACAACTTCTCTTAAATTTCTAAGTTAGACCACCATATTATACTCTCATGATCTTCTTCTGATTAGGAAGATCATAAATACTTATCTGTATTGGTTCCAAAACCATATAATCCCACATGAGAGGTTCGTATATACACCCGGATGTCCCAATTTAATTTTTTTTGTTTTTTTTTACATTAAAGTCCCATTAAACTTTGCCAGGAGTCCAGTACGTAGAAAAACTACAATTTCGTGTTGTACTTTGTTAGTTCGTTGTTTATTTTTAGATATCCCCCAATAAATATTTACTACTACTACATTTAAGTTGTAACTGTTGCAATTGGACAAAATTTATACGGAGTACTCTTCACTTATTTTACTTTTCTCACTTTTTGTTTCGCCTTCTCCCGCATTCTCTCTCCGGCGACACCACTACCACCGCCGGCGACGCCGCCGTCAACCGATCCTCCTCAATTTCAAGGTTAGCTCATTATATTAGCTAAATTGAAAGTAGGTGAAATAAATTTGCCTTTTTTTTTTTTTTGGTTGTTTTAAATAAAAGATTATTTGTGAAATTGAAATTTATGTACTTTTTTTAATTACATGAATTATTGGTTATGTACATTGTTGAATTTCATACCAATTGGGTATTATAAAGGTATAATCTTGCTTATATTTTCTTCAAGATGTTGAGTTGTGTGAATTTGTATTAAATTTTGCATTTTGCAAGTAATTGAATGATCCTTCCTGTATTTTGTTGCGCCCCGAATTTTAGGGTTTGTTTTGATTACGAGTTTTATGGTCTGTATTTCTGTGTATGTGTGTGCCTGTGAATTGTGGTCAATTGCCGGGGTTTTTGAATCAATATTGGTTTTTTTTTTTTTTGGGATGATACAGCTTATTTCAGGCTCGGTTTGGTTTGGTTTGGTTCCGGTTTTTACCCCGGCTCGTTCGGTTTTGTTTTGGGTTTGTTGATGTGTTTTATGGTTTGTTTGTGTTTGTGCATATATATATGCTTGTGAATTGTGGTCGATTGGCCATTGTGGGGAAACTGAATAGCTGTTATTTTCGAGTATTGTGTAACTCTGTGCTAGAGTCAGTATCAGAATGACCCGGAAGTCTTATGGTTTGTTTGTGTTTGTGGATATATATGCTTTGGTATCTTCTGTTGTGTTTTGATTTTTATCTTGTGTTATATCTATATGTTTATTGTTTGTGTATTATGAAGTATATGCTTGTTAATCATGGTCGATTGGTCATTACAAGGAGATTGGAACAATGTTAGTTTTCGAGGATTATATAGCTTTCTAATCATTTGGTTTGTAATAGGAGGGTGACAAGAGAAAGGAGGAGAAAAAAGGCAGGATTTAGCTTTGGATATGTCTATATTTGAAGGATCAGATCTTTTATTAGACATGGAAACAAACGCATGTAATAAAAAAAGACGGAGGGGTGAATCCTTTGTTACTGCTCCAGATAATAAAGCTGATGAAGATTATGTTTCATTTTTGGAAGGTTTACAACAGTTTTGGGAAGCGAAGTTTGTGGAGGATGACGATGTTGATCCAACATATATGGAATTCTTGGGAAACTTGAAGGAGTACAATAATGCATATATGTGTGATGTGTCAATAGAAAACGGTGTATTGTCCCCGATCTATTATGAAGATGAATACGAGTCACCTAATCTGATGAAAAGGAAAACTTCACAACCTTGTTGTGGTACTGTTATTCATGAGAAAAGGAACTTACATCAGGATGTCGGTTTAAAATCAACTCGAAAAAATTCCGGTGTAAAGGATAATTCATGTGATGTATTTCCCAGGAGCTTAGATGCAGCTGAAAATCCAAAATCTGGTTGGAAAAATTCCAAAGCTGGGAATGTCTCTGATGGATTCAAGAGGAAAACTCCTATATCTCGCAGGGGTGATCGTGCTAGGGAGAATAGGATCTTATATATTGATCGTAATCAGAAGAGTTCTGATTCCAGGAATGATCATCTCGAGGAGAATAGGAGTTTAGACATGGATAGTGATCAGAGCAATTCTGATTCTGAGAATGTTCGTCCTTATGGAAACAAGAGGAAGACTCCACATTCTAGCAAGGGAAATTGTGTTAGGGAGAATAGAAAATTAGACGTGGATAGTGATCAGATACTAGGTCCAAAATATTCTGGATCTGGGAAAAAGATGTCTATAATAGTTGATGAAACTTATGAAACGTTCTTGAATAGTCTCCACATCACTGAAGACTCTGTGATATATGAATATGGAGACCTACAGCGAATCTCTTATGAACCCAATGATCAGCAGAAAACTGGTGTTAGAATTAAGAAAGATACAAGACCACCATCATTAACTCGTAAACCTACAACACCAATTCCAGTACCACAAACTCCACCTTCTAGAGCAAAAATTACATCACAAAAGAAATCAACTCCAACAGATAGCCTTAATACACTAAGCACGTCTGTAAGTGTTCTTTTAGCAATATTCCATTTCATCTAAATAGTGCATTTTTTCCCCACCTCTGACATTCACACTAACTTGTCTATTATCTTGATGCTTTCCCATAGAACAAGACGTGCAAAAAGGGGAAGATACAAAGAGTAGATTCTTCTGAGTACTGGTACTTGAATAAAGAGTTACATCGTTACCTAAGAAGACCCTATGAGAGAAAGGAGTTTGACGAGCTTTTGGCGGAATTTAATTCTAAAAAGCCTGTGTCAATTTATAGAGACTCCCGTAGCGGTGGATCTTACAGGCCGGGACATATGGGCAAATCTTTGCTTGAAAAATTTCCAGGTAAGTTTGTTCTTGGTTTGGTTGATTAGAGTGCTTCTTTTCTGTCTTCTCTTTCATCATTGCAGCTTAAGAAAGCTGGGAAACTACTTAATTAAAGTTTTAGACTACTTGGTCCAATGAGTTAGTTATTACATGAGATCACTTATGTGAAAAGTTTTTTCTGAATGATTCGTCTAGCTGTTATAAATGATGTACATTTATTTGTTTCACCCAATTTTCTGTTTTTGAAATATTGACTTACCTGTAACTCTGTCAATAAGAATGAAGTATGAGACACTTAAGGTGGTAAAGCAAACGGATAAATTGGTAATACTTTCCAAGACGGCACTGTCATATGTGGCTCTTACTCATAAGAAAATATCATAATTCTTTCTCCTTTTTTTGAATTGCCTGTATTGTGATGCTAATATGCTATTAATGCTGTCACTTGCATGTCCTTCCTTTTCTGCGCTGCAAAGATTAATTGTTTCAGTAGAAGTTGGGTTCATGTGTACTTTTAGACAAACAATTCATATATCTGTTGATGTCAACTTAAAAATTTCTCCATACTATATTATGGTATTTGATGTCATTTTGAATGTAAGAGTGCTATGTGATTTCCTTTTGCTACCTTGACAATAATTGATATTTGTAAAATAATAGGTAGATAAATTTACCATCCTGAAGAGAGAAAAAAAATTAGGCCCTGTTTAGTTTGCCTTATCTTTGCTTATCTGAACTTATCTGATATATGTCAGATTTGACCAAACTTTGACCTTAAATATACGATAATCTATACGGTAATAATGTAGCAAGTGGGGTTTTGTTAGATTCGTAATAATGTGTATTTTATTAATATGTGATTTTTAGAATATTTTTCATTACAAAATTAAAGATATTTAGCGATAAAAAACTACACATAAAGCGATGATATGATCTAAACTTTTTTTTTTTTATCTGAACTTTTTTTTTCTGAAATAAGTAAAAATATGGTGAACTAAACAAGGCCTTACTTGGCTTTGCCGATGAAACTATAATATAACCATGGGTAGTGTAATTTGTGGAATAACCTTTTAATCTATGAGGACCATGACTATATATATATGTATGTATATGTGGCTTGTATCAATAAGTAATCGAGTACAAATCATAAGCAGTTTCTTTTGTTGCTTCTAAGTTTCCTACTTTATTAACAATACGCATAAGGGTTCAAATCAACTAAATTTCTGAAGTCTCTGACTTCTGGTGCACATTCAACATCCTATCTGCAAAATAGTCAAACTGGTGTGTTAAATCATTTTAGAAATATATCTATGCTCGACAAAATTAGGATCCATGACAAAAAAAAATTTAAAATCTTTTCCATCGCCATACCACATTAGTACAAAGACAACAAATGAACAAACTCATTCTGTGCGATGTTTACATTTGGCATAATTTTTAAAGGATGATACGTTCGTATTGCTGGGTTTCTTTGTAAGAAAAAAAAAAATTTGCTTAGATCGTTTCATATTTTTTGCAAACGATTTGACATAAAGTGTTAGTGGAAAGTGTCAAATCGTTGCAAATAATTTGAAATGGAGTTGGTACATCTAAACTTCAAAACTGGATATACAATAAAGGAAAATAGACTTATGTATGATTGTATGCTAATTTCGCTATCATGTTGCTTTTGTGGCTAAGCTGGTTCCTATGGTTTGAGTAGATAGTTTACTACCTTTGTTATTTATGTTCAACTCACTTTCCATTTAGCCCCCCCCCCCCTTCTCCGTTCTCCTATGTTCTACTCACTTGTACTTTATTCCATTTTGGCAAACCCCCCTTTGCTGTTGTTTTTCTACCAGTCCTTGAACCCTGGACCTATGGTTTCAAGAATCTTGAAAGTCACCACCAGATCCAAAGAGGACTAGTTTGGCAAACCCCCCTCTACTATGCTACCTCATTATATTATCTCCTTTCTATACTCTCTTGCCCTTTTCTTACACCCACCCACCCTTTTACTCCATCGCTCCTGCTTTATTTAACTTTCTCTTACACCCACTAACCTTTATCAAGCTTTCTTAATTTACGTAATTACAACAATAATATATATGTAATTCCTCTGTTTGTTTTTAGTTGCCACGCTTTACAGTGCAAAATTCAACCATTAATATTTATAATTATAACTAAGCAAAAATTATAAAAAGTTGATATTTTGAAATTATAAATCGAGACAAATATAACAAAACCCCACATGACTCTATGTCTTATTTTGTATAAATCACAAAAGACGGTCAAAGGAGAGCGTGTGAATAGTGCCAAAGTCAAAACGTGTCAAAAAAATTTTTTAAAAAGAAAGAGATTAGGTATGTGTGTGTAGGGGTGTTCAAAGTTTGGTCCGCACTGGAAAAATGGACTGGATCGAACCAAATTAATCGGTCCGGTCTCCGAGCCGAGAAATTCATTTTTTTGGACTACAGTCCGGACCGTTCCAAAACCCTATAAAAACTGGTCTTGGACCGGACCTGTTTTTTGCTTAATATTATACATAAAACCTTTAATAATGATTAAAATTATCCGACCAAGCTTGAAAAATTTGTCACATGAGTCTTTTTATACTAAACATACAAAAAAAGACGTTAAAATGTTGTTTTTCATTTTTTTTTTAAATTTCCATAAATCATATAAATTTAGGAAATTTTTAATAAAAATTCTAAAATCGGTCCAAACTAGTCCGGTCCAGGTTTTGGACCTATTTTTTGGGTTCGGTCCAGTCTTCGGTTTATTAAATTCAATTTTTCGGTCCTAACAGTGTGTGTGTGTGTGTGTTTTTTTTGTCAAACTACATATGTTTTTTCTTGCTTATATTATCCTGCAGATTTTTGTCTGTCATTGCATCAATCATTTGCTTATCTTGATGTCAGATCTGAAACTTGAAATAGAAAAGGCACAACCTAATCGCCCCAAGGTTTTGAATCTCCTACGAATGTGTAGATTTTATTTGCAGGTAACAACTCATTTATCTTTTGTTTGTTTTGGTTTCTTCTCTTCCACTTTCTTGAAGATTATGTCACTAACATAAACTAGTTTGAGATTAAATTTATTTAGCCCCTGCTGTTCCTGGGATATAAAAGCCCACCAACAAAACTTGGCTTCTTCATATATTAGTAGTTTTAGTTTTATTTATTTATTTATTTTGGTCAGTAATTCAGTATGGTAGCATGCTTTCAGTTCACACTATACCCAAATAGAAATAGTATGGCCTTTATTCCAAAACAAAACTGTAGAGCCATATTGGTTGTAGAGTAGACATAATTGGAAATTGAAAATCTCTCTTTGTTGGTGATTTTAGATCATCATCCTGTTCTTCCTGTGTGAAATTTCTGGTCCTTGTAAGAGATAAACCGTGTATGTTAGGGGTCAAGCCAAGTCATTCAGTCTATTTTACTCCAGACTTAAGGCCCGATCTCAGTGTTCATCATACATCATAACCACTGGGTTTTTGTATAACCTCTTTTGACTATTTTGCTTATCAATGGACAAGATCTTACTGAAATGTAATGATAACTCTGTCTGTGAAGTAAATAAAATCTTTGTCAATTAGTTGTCTTTTGAAAATAAAGGGTCTAATCTTTTGGAAAGTATTGTCTGCTTCCATCAATGTTCTTGTGACTGCTTCCACCAATGATGTTTTATTTACCTTAACCAGGGGAAGGAAGTAGCTGGAAGAAAGAAAATCTCTGTACTAAAATGAAATAATATGGAATTAGGAAGTTAAGCTTAGATATTTTAAGCAAGAAAGCAGCCTAAGTTGATTGAAATTTTTTACAGTTCTGATCTTCATAAATTATGGCAAACTGTGCTAGACATTTACAGATGCATGGTCTCATTCCAGTGAAAAGCATGCTGCCTAGGAGCATTTTAGCTTGAAGATATTTGTGCCTTTGTGGCAGTATATGTAAATTATTGAGAGGAAGTTGCTTTTTGGCAATGCCTACCTACGTTTGTTTTTCTATTTAGTGCAGAACAACATTGTTTTAATGATTGTTTTTTTCTAGTCTTCTGACAATATTAGCTTTTATTTTTGGCACCAGAAAATCCCTTCAATTCCCAGTGGAGTTTGTGAGCCTTGGAAGGATGACCAGACTAAGAAAATTTTGCCCAGATCGTCCTGAATGCCCATAAAATGGTTCCACTTGACTGGTTGTGTGGCACGTCATGGTTTATTTTGTAAAAAGTCTCGTATCTAATTCTGATTTTTGCTTCAGTGAACCATGCTGATGATATACACGAATGTTAAGCAAATGGAAGAAATAGGTTGTATATTAGTGAATCATCTGGCTCATTGAAGATCCCTTTTTGTATTACAGTAAAACAAGCTTCAATGTGTAATAATAATATGGTTACATCTTATTACATACCTGTTTCCACTATCTGATTCTTGATATTACTGTACATCTGGTAGCTCATTGCTGTTGAATTTCATTCGCGGTTTTCCCATGCTGAAGTTTAATACTCTTGAATTCATGTTGTATTTTATCTCACCGTCATAGAGCATCTTTCTGATGTAATGCTCTATGTCCGATCCAATGAGGCGAAGTGTGTATTCTGTCAGAGGTGCACCCTGGTTTCCAATCAAAGGTTATACTGTCAGAAAATTCAGCAGTTTTACTGACTCAGATACATTGGACAGTATGCAATTTTGGCACTGCATGTATTTAGCGTTTTCTACTGATTAGTGATTACTGATTCAGACCTCTGGTAGCAAAGTGGACCTAAAGTTTCCTATTTTTGACTCCATCAGCCACTACCTGTGAGTTTTCCAGTAGAAAATTCTTAGTTTCTTTCTCAATTTCAGTATCAAATACGCAGTATTATACCAAGTACAGGGTTACATCTGAGACATTTTTTAGAGCTTAGGATACTAAATTATTCATCACTATTCAATATTTCCGGGAGTGTTTGCCTGTTTGGCTAATGGCTTTTTGTTGGCTTTTTAATGTGGCATGACCAGTCGTCTATTACCCAATATAGGGAATATCTTATCACTATAGAAATTGGCCATGATTAGAAAATTTTACATTTCAGAGTTAAAGCTGTTGGAATTGCTTATGGAAGCACTTGAATTTTCTAACTATTTGATTATACTAATATGATTATAACTAGCCCATTTGGCTGAGGAAATTAGAGACGATACCTCATAATGATCGACGAGCTCCTGGAAGTAGTTGTAAACCTGGTTGCAGTTGTCATCAGTCCACAAGAATTCATTAGTTGGATCAAGAATAAGTGTGAGTTTATCCATCTGCGTCTGATCCATCGCGCAGGTTTCAGGGTCAATGTAGGCAGCATAGATCCTAACATGCCTGGTCACACTGCTGAGCCACTGCCCTCCATATTCTCTTGCCAAGTTTCTGTTCTTGACATTCACTTGGGGTTCAATTGGAGTCGGTATTTTCTGCTGTTGCTTCATTCCTTCTTGCTCTTCATTTTCATTTTCTGCCTTCAGTTGCTCTGATTCTTGAATTTCAGCTTGCTGTTGAGCTGAAATACGGAAGCTGAGCCTCTTTGGCAGGGCTCGTTTGCTTCGGATGTTCGAAGAAAAGGTAGGGAGTTTAATTGAAGGTATGTATGATGAAGCAGCTGCCATAGTTAAACAAGTTGTTTTGGTTATTGTTCTGAGGCATAAGCTTCCAATGTATTTGAGTCCTCTATTTTTTTTTATTTTTTTTTCGGATAAGATGTAAGTTGTGTTGTTTTCATTTGGGGGGAAGGGGTTGGAAATTTGAGATTAGATGAGAACGGTACAAATTACAATATGACATTCCGTAGAGATTTTTTTATTATTTTTTATTTATTTATTTTTATTTATTTTTTTTGACAATTTAATTTAGATAATAAAGAGCATTTTGAGTGGAGCAAAATACTCCAATGAATTAGAAAAAGGCTAAATGTCAATACAATGTAGATAGTGATATTTGTGACTTAATACCATTATGGAAAAATTACTCCCTCATTCCATATTAATACCTTTATGGAAAAATCACTACAATTTTATATGATTATCTCATTTGCATTTTACCACAATTGCATTTTACTGAACCAATGGTAAATTCAATCCCAAAGTTATATTCTTTTCTTCTCACAATTTCATTACCATGACTTTGCTTGTCAAGTTACACTAAAATTCGTTCCTATTATCCTTTTTTTTTCTTTTTTTTTTTTTTTTTTTTTTTTTTTTTGTTACTTGACATAAAGAGCATCAAGAGCTGTATGATGTGGAAGAAATTGCCTTGATGTGTTTAATGATCCTCCAACCTTGTAGCAACACAAATTCAAAACAAGCTCAAGAGGAAGTTCTCAAATGATTGGAAAAATTTTCCCTTCTGTAAATCTCACTAATTCATTGATCATTACATAAAGTACAAATGTTATAGTATAATCTCTACAACTTTACAAGGCGGTATATTAAATAAAAAAGAAATAATAATTAAAAAAAAAGTATACTACACAATCCCTTCACTCCCAATGAGCACCCCAAGAAAAAAGGAAAAGAAGAGGAAATGCATATAAACAAGGCATTTACAAATGACTGCATCTCCATGACATTCCTTGTCCTTTCAATGACTGCAGTTAGTGGCGTGTTTAAGGACTAATAAAACCTAAGATTTACCTAAAGCCTACCCAGTAAGCGAAGAGGCTTTATCAGTTCGTCAAAATCATCCAACTGAGAATTCTGAGGGCCGTCCTCAGATAAGGTGTGATCACTCGTCGGTCCATCCTCTTGTGCTTCATCATCACTAACATCAAGGCTGACAAAATCACCCAAGTCTCCTTGAAAGAGAGCACTACTGACTTTGTTGGGTTCAGCATGATTCTTAAGCATAATGGGTTTTGTCTCAGGATCTACAACCACTGAGAGACCAGAACCAAAATAACGTCCCTTAGCATTCTTCTGATCTCTCTGGCCTTTCCGTTTCTTAGTCTTTCCTTTCTTTGGATGGTAAAGTTTGCATTTTGATCCTTGGGGGCAGCTACCGGAGGCTTCAAATTCGGGGCAGATGTAACTGTGCTTCTTCCGGCACTGCAAGTGTGTAGACAGAGATTTGTTCTACTTGTTTCTATCAGGTAAGTCGACATGTGACACTCACAAGCAAACAGAGAAGTTTGGTTGAAGAAACCAATAAATGAAAACATAATAGTCAATTTGAAATCCCAAAACAAAACTTGAGATACCCTTCTGATAATTGTGTCACAGGACTTTATTTATGCATGCCATGAAATGAATGGTTAATATAATCATGATGGTAAAAAAGACTCCTGCTATGATAGACCTAGAACAAGCTGGACAAGAAAATCTGACAATATCCAGAGAAAACACGACAAACAATGCCACATCCACCATTGCAAAGTCGAACCAGAATCCAGAACCCATATATGTGAAGATGTATGCACTACCTCCAACTAATTTAGTATCCTAAGATTGGTAAGATAGAGCCGGTAAGGAAATGTCAGGCAGGGGAGGAAGAAAAATCTTCTGTACAAAGGTCATAGCATTGAGATTAAAAAAAAATGCTACTTGTCTGTGCCTCTATTTTCTTTTATGTTCTAATATAATTTTCAAAGTAAATGTTGTTTAATCAGGTAAATATTAATCATACTTTCAAAACACAAAAACTACACAAGCAGTAGAGTTTGCAATACCAAGGAATTTTCCTTCTAATCTAGTTTGGAAATAATGGGGCGTTTAATAATAGAAAGACATGAATAAAGGGGACAAAAAAGAAACTATTTTGCAGAAAGAGGATAATGATTTGACAACAAAGACATCATATTTTACCCCCCTTGTCCATAATGACACTTTTAACTCGTAAACTTTAACCAACAAAATGGGAATGGCAAAAGTCAAATTTATGTGCAGCGGCTAACTAAAGAAAATTATTCTAGACAACTAAAAAAGGAAAGGTGGACAAATGCATTTGGACAGAGACAAAATGCAAAGGGCTAATGACTTGAAAAACAAAGATTTAAATATATTGATGTTAGCAATTAATACCTCATTCCCTTCAGCACAATAGCCCCTGAGGAAGCTCTCACATATAGAGGCTTTTGGATTCACATTGACATGACGATAAGGACACTTCTCATTAGAGCATAAGCCTGCATGAGAAGGCAGTCAACATTTATGCCCGTTGTGATACTAATCAAATGCATAAAAGATAGAAAACCACCTTGCAGGAAAAATGAACAATCGGGCATTCTTTCCGGAATAACCTGCATCACAGATATAGAATTAAGCAACAATGGTCCAAAGACAATCATCCAGACAGAGGGCATAGCATGATAGACCTTATGAGTCAATTTGCAATCCAGATCGGCACATAAACCCTTCAAAAATTTGGTGCAGACAGCAATTTTGGATGGATCATGTATAAATGAACATTTTCCTTCACCCTTGTTGCATTTACCAAATCTAGTGAAAAACTGGCAGAATTTACGTTTTTTGGCTAATCGCATCCTAGCAGTGTGCAAACTCCATCGAACTTTTTCACTAGCCAAAATGCGAGTGCGCCTCTTTGGGTCTCTAACAAGTTGGTTGCCATTGCCAATCCGAACATACCTACCAAATAGGAAGATATTTATCCAAAACCAGAGGGAAAGAGTGAGTTTTATTCCAAGAAATAACATTCCTGCAAACAGTTGCTAGTAGTATTGACATACTCATCACTTCCAATTATTAGCCTCTTTGGCACATAAGTTTTTCTGACATCCTTATCTGTCTTTGAAGCAGTAAAGTCTGATGCTTCCTCATCTATTCAACAATTTATGGTTAGTTTAAATACTATTGAATATCAATCATAAATAACAGATGAATTCTTAAAAGAAGATTGAGGGAAAGGAGGAAATCAACAGGATAATCTGAAAGGTAAATTGATACCATGTGGATCAAAATTCCAAGCAGCTATGTAAAGGAGCATTAACAATTAGCAACACAAGGCCACCCATTAATTTAGTTAAACTTATATATAGAGCATTAAGATATCCTCCAGCAACAGTAAAATTTAATATCTATATTGAGCGAAGATGAACGTCACTCACAAGTCACACCCTTTAGCAGAAGAAATATAGAATGCCTACAACTACAACTAAACGGGATGGGAGCCAACAATTGACTCACTACCACAAGTTTTAAATAATCAGAGCTTGTAAAACTGCACTTTGACACACTCTAAAGCTGTCCATGACCATCCTCACACAAGACTAAAAACAACTCTAACCATGGCCTTCTATGACCGCATATTGTAATTCTTTAGCTGTATCCTCTATCAGGACTTAACAGTTTATGCTAGCTAATTTTCTAGTGGAATGACAGTAGAAACCATCTAGCACATCCCATTATTCCCAATCGGCAACAACTACACAAACCACATTCTAAAATACAAAGAACTGAATAGATGCACAATGTTCGTATAGCACTAGGTGACTCTAAAAGCAAGTTGCTAGGAAGAAGCATATATCAGCTGTTGATCCTCTACATCCCACAAACCCCTTCCAAACACAAGGATGCACGGTGCAATACTTGGATATAAATATATAGACCAACTACTATTAACGACAGCATGAGAATCAACTTCTACCTCCTGATTTTGACATAGCTATGAATAGGCTACCGACTACCCCATTGATATACCTCTCGCTGGATGAATGTTAAGAGTCTATGTTGTAATTGAAACAAAACCAAAATTTCTTTTTAGCTCTTAATCATATGATGAAGGAAATTAATGAAGCAAAAGAACCAGGGCAAAGTAAACTAGAAACCTGAAATCCTTTGAAGTGTCCTCCTTGAAGGATCCATACGGTATCGAAAAACGCCAATACGAAATATTCGTTCTCCTGTTCATCACAAATATTTATAACCAAATCAACTAGAGTGGTGAAGGTTGCAACAAGACCATACCAAAATACACAATACTTAACCAGGGGTATAGGGGAAGCCCACACTACGAATTAGTTATTTATGTCTCAAAATAGATTACAGAATACATCATGACCTAAGAATCTTGTGATCAACCTACCTGCTTTAGAATTAGTTTGTAAGGATCCAGATTTTTGTACAGAATTCATTGCAGCAACTGCCTTAGCAGCTTCCTGTGAATGGTTAATAAACAAACTAATAAGACAAAACGGAGTATAATACCCAATTACACACAAAAGAGCCATAGGAAAACAATATCATTTGTAATCATCACATTGAAATAATGATTTGACTAACCTCTCCAACCTTCTTTGAACGCTTTTCCATGGACTTCGACCATTTTAAACTAGTTCCAGGAAGACTTATGACCTTTGATCTTCTTAAAGAAAAACCACGACTCGACCTTACATACACAGCACCCCTCTTTTTGGAAGAAAGCAGTTTTCGACTAAAAAACAAACCACATAATTTCAGTCAGACAAATGCATCCACAAGCAAAACCATTGAAATAAAATCAAATTGATATAGCATATGCTTTCAGCAAATAGAAGAATTTTAAGAGCTGGCCGAGGTCAGCCAGACAAACCTCCAATAAGTAGCTCTTTTCCAAGGTAACAAGTGGGACAGCAGTCTCCTTGATCTCATTGAATCAACACCTTTACCACAGGACTTGGACTCACCCAACTTCCAAACAAGCGAAAATTTCGTAGATTTAACTGCATAATATAGAAAAATTAGTATGGACTCTTTTCCAGGTAGATGATTATAATATGACAAAAAAATTACGCATGCAGACAGAAGCTAAAGCCAGATGGAAAATTCCAACTAATTATTAAAAAATATTACAAACATAAAATGCTATGTAGTAATCCAGTATTCAGTTAATGAACTAAAGTAGTCAGATGGGAAGGCGAGTAATAAGATACCTTTATTTGATAGTCTTTTGGTAAAACTTCTGCCAGAGGAAGCATGAAAAGCCCTTTGAGAAACTGACATGGGATTATCTTTATTTACCACAGCCAATTGCTGAATATTGCCATCAGAGGAAGCTCTAATGAGTTGGTTTTTTCTTCTCTTGAAGTAATTGACATCGGAAGATGTAGCTGTGCCCTTGTCAGTGTTAAGCAAAGATGATTGTGAGGACTTTAAAGCAGCAATCAATTGATTTAATTTGTGCTTAACGTATATCATCTTCTCTGAATTCGATCCAACCAAATCTCCATCACTCAAAATAACAGGATCCTCCAAATTTCTGTTCACAGCAGATTCAGGATCCATTAAGGAATTCAATGCAACATCAGGAGATTTAAGTGCCTCTTCACTGTCAGTTCCTACAGAGTGATCCACATGTAAGGAAGATACGCATTGTCCAGAGTATACAGCATCATTATCTGATGTCTTACTACTGCAGGGTAATGGAGGTGTTTTTGGCATTTCAATGGGGGCATTTCGCCCTCCTTTCACAAGCCCATCAGGTAACCCAGTAGACTCAATCATCACAGAGCCCACAATCTTGCTGATCTTGTCTGTCTTATTTGGCCTTGGCCGATCGATGGTTGCACCAACAGCAAGAGAACCTGAAGTGGATGCACCAACAGCAAGAGAACCTGAAGTGGATGCACCAACAGCAAGAGAACCTGAAGTGGATGCACCAGAAATGGGATTTCTTACAAGACTGTTTCCTTTTCGTATGTAAGAAGTGTCCTGAACCTTCACAGCTTTACTAGACAGTGCCCTGTGTGGTGGAGGAATTCCCCCGGATGGCTTTTTTGCAGGTATGTTAGCTGTTAAGTTACTTGTTCGATGCCATGTACGAGGTTTTACTGGAAAAGTCTGTGATTTAGAGGGTTTAATCACGGCTGAAAGATGGCTGGTGGAAGGACTTGCTTCAGAACGGGTTAGCACATTCTTCCTCTGTCTGATCATGAAATTTGAGCTGGATTTTGTAGTCTTTTCCTGCTTTGATGACATCAATACACCTTTCTGAGCAAATGGCTGAACACCTGATGTTGCTGATATACCTGGCTTCGAGCTTTTCTTACGACTTTCAGGAAGCAGATTGGCCTGGGAGGTAATCGAGCTCTGTTTTGCAAAAGGTTTACTTGATTTTTTGTCATCCTTACACAGCTTCTCACCTGAGGTCACATGAATCACTGGACTGGCAATTGATGTATTCAAGGATGAAGGAAGAAGAGAGCAAGCCTCAGTTAGGCCCGAATTGGATGGTGTATCCAACATATCAAAGTTTGCAGTAACTCCGCCATCAGTAGATTCAGCATGTGACTGCAAACAACCAGACAAAGAGGACAGATTAGAATTTAGAGCAATAGCACCATCAAAATCCAAATTCATTGCCAGAGATCCTTGCTCTGCATCCCTGGTATGATCACCCGGCAAGCACTGCAAATTACTCTTTCTCTCAATTGTTGTCAACGTATTGAGCCCATTTCCATCATCGGCTCCAGCCGTCATCAAAATCTTGTCTACCTTCTGATGACACCCGGATTCAGGCAAATTAGACTGCTCTACATCTGGTGGGGTACTCTCTGTGATAGATAAACATGAATCTGTGCACAGGAAGTCAGAGATTGAATTGTCAGCTAAGCTACATGTTTCTGCACACAAATTGCTGGCTGCTCTGTCAGCTGCACCTTTCCCAGTAATTACAGACTTTTGTAGTTCAAATCTCTCTGAAAATTGTGGTGAATGATTGGTGGAGGGCTCATCAGCTACCGGTGTCAACAATTTTCCAGACACGGGTAAATCAGAACTCTCAAACTCTGGTGCATCAGAGAAAACGGATTCCAATGGATATACTTTCCTTTTCTTACCAAAACTAGAAGAATGCTCAATTAGATCTAAATCAGGAGGGTGATTCATGGAATTCATACCCTTCAAACAACTTCCAGCAATTTCATTCCCATGTGCAATATCTGATTCGACACATGCTGACCCTGAAACTGCAGAGCTATGTTTCTCCACAGGATGGGTTGCATTCTCAATAGGAAAGCTTAAGTTCACAACCAATTGACACGATTCCGATATTCTCGAATCTAAAGAGTTTGGCTCAGTTTTGGATTTTCTCTTTCTGTTGAGTTGAGAGCTATCCTTGTTAACAGGAACAGCCAATACACCACCTGCATCAACACAAGTCTTTGAATTGTCTTCTTTTCCTAATGTGGTATCATCATTGACTAACATGGTCTCTGAACCTTGACAATGTTCCTCCTGAATGTCATTTGTATCCCTGACATCAGAAGCACTGTTTTTTACATGTTCTAAGCTAACGGTAACATCATCATTGTAACTGAGGGAGGTTCTTTTGTCACTACAGACATCAATTGAGAAACTTTCCAACTTTTCATAATCCTCAGAATATTTTGATTCTGGCTCATGATTTCTATCAGAATACAAACTCCCTAATGATAGTCCAATAGTAGCATTTTCAGGTGAAGAAAATACCTGATCTTCACAAGACTTAACAGCATCAGTCAATGGGCATGATAAATCCACTATATTTTCTTTCTTTGAGACATTAGCTGGAATTGAGACAGAACTCATGTTTTCTACAAAATCCAATGTATCCACGTTTCCACGACAATTGTCATTACTATCCACATTGTCTCCAACACGTATCACCAACTCAGAGGAACCTTCCTCAGAACCATTATTGATGACCAATACAGGAGCCATATCCTGATCCTTGACACTGTCCTTTTCAATATATACGTCTGAAATAAATTTCTCCACAAGTTTTGTCACGTCCTCATCAGGATTAGAGATTTTCTGCTCATCTTGTAACATACCCTCCATGTTTCCATGACCATCAGAAAATCCAATCCTCAGGGATCCTGGTGAACCAGGAAGATGTTCAGACATTCCAATCTCCCTAATTCTCTTAGAAGAATCAGATGCTTCAGTAACAGGATGACCTAGAACTTCCCTTTGATCTGAAGCAGCAGAGGATTTACTGACTTCAAATTTGCCCATATCCACTAATATGTTCTGAGTTGAATCAATAACATTGCCGCCACAAGAAGACTTTGTCTCTAAATTCTTTACAGAGACATCAGAAGGCATAGAGACATCAGAAGGACGATTGGCTGAACAGTCAACATTTACAAGCCCACTATCTGTCTTTATGGACACTGATCTAGATAGGCGGGAAATAGGACTATTGGCTTTCCTCTTCTTCCTAGCAGTACGCGTAGATACATTATCTAATCCAGCTTTCTTATTAACCCTACCCAAAACCTCACCTTTCGAATCTGCCTTAGAAGTAATACCTCCAGACACGCTAATAGATCCACCAGAAGACAATTCTGAGCGACTACCGTGTACCTCTAGATTATTTGGACTGCCAAGTCTCTTCATGATAGAAGACACTCTAACCCTATTCTTAATATCTTTCTCTTCCCTTTTAGATACAGAAGAATAATCAGTAAGACTCCCTACTTTTGGCAGACTATCACCATCTATTCTAACACCTAAATCAGTCAATGAGTTATTCACGTTACATTCTACCCCAGAACAAGAAGGGGCAGCCATGATCGGCTTGGCCACTAAAGCATTTGATTTAAAAGACACGTCAAGCTCGACAGGGTTTCTCACTCTCTCTTCACTCACCCTACAATCTAAAGACTCTGAATTCGACTCTTTTCCTTTGTGTGGACTAGGAGTTTTATTACTGCCATTATTTTTGTCAAACCTATTCCTAAAACTACTACTATGTTGCTGCTGTGGTTTCCCTGGTTGTATCCTAAGAAATGCACTCTTCTTCTGCACATTCTTCTTAGGAGTACCGCGATTACTATACTCTTGAACCTCTTCATTCCTCCCTCTATTACTTCCCTTATCATCAACCTCAACCCCTCCAATCCGAAACTTGATGGGAGAACGAGACACTTCCCTCGAACCACCACCGCCACCACTACCCCGCCTCATATTCACATTCTCCTCCAATACAACATCATCCCTACCACCCCTCACCAATCCCTCATCATTCAACGACCCTCGACGACATTCACTACTCCCCGAATTCAACTCAATCTCCTTCCTCGCCGGCATCATCTCAGGATAATACTTTTCATGATGCTCAAACTCACGATGATCACGACCAAAATCCCCTTCCAACCTATCAAAAACCCCCAAAACCCTACGCTCATCACCCCGTTCCCGGTCCCGTTCCCGATCCCGCCTCAATTGATACTCAACCCCATCAGAATGATGAACCCTAACACGAGATTCTAAACCCAATTCCTCCCTAAACCTAGGAGGACTTTCAATCTCACGCCTAACCCTATGAACAAATTGAGTAGGAGAACGACACACACCAGGCGACATCGGCGAAACTCTGGAATCCGACATCGGCGAAACCCTAGACGCCGACATCGGCGGAAGCGGCGGCGGCGGCGGGAGTTGAGATACCCGAAATCGAAGCTGATTTTCAACATCAACATCATCAATCCCATGATGATTATGATTATGAACATGATGATAATGATTAGGAGGGATTACCCGAGTCGGAGATCGAAACCCATCTCGATGTTCATCTTCCAGAAGACGACGATGATGAAGATGAGGCTGTTGGTGGGGGTTATGGTGGTATTGGTGAGGAGGGGAGTTGATGAAATTGAAGGGGGTTTCAATGGGGGAATGATGAGAAGGTGGTGGGGATGGAGGAGGAGGATGATGAACGAGGCGAGGAGAGAGAGGATGATGATGATGGTGGTTGTGGTTGTGGGGTGGAGGAGGAGGAGGAAGGTGGCGTTGCGGCGGAGGTGGGAAGTGATGAGGGTGGTCGTCGGGGAAAGACGGCGGCGGCAGCGGCGGCGGCGGAGGAAGGTAGCGAGGTGAGTCGATGAGTTGAGGGTGTTGGTGGTGGTGCTGTTGTTGCCAGGGTTGTTGGTGGTGGCGGTAATGGTGGTGGTGGTTGTTGTTGTGGTGGTTCATGGTGGTTGAGGGGAAAAGAGAGCGGTTATTTGGAGTAGGGGGTTTGTTTGAGAAGTAGAAGAGTCGGAGTTGTTTACAAGAAGAGTGGTTGGTATGATTTTGTTTAGGGAACCATAGTGAACTTTAAGAAAGACCCTTCATTTCACTACAGTTGGAACCTCACTGGCCTTATCGGTAAATTACTTACTTTGAGCTGGGGTCCCCGCCAGCTTTGGAGAAATATGAAAAGACAAACTAGCTTTATTCCCGATTTCTTTTTTTTAGTAAGTAGACCGCAAAGCCCTGTTTTAAAACTTCCCTTTTTTCTTCCGTCCACGAGGTTCTGAAAGAAAGAAAGGGGCGCAGCTGCTATATTTGGTTACCCCCGTCGCGTCGTTCGCTTTCATGCGTGTGAAAGTAAGGTCTCCCCTTCTTCATCCGAAGTATCTCCCCGGAACGAGTCCTTTCCTAAATGGCTAAGGCTCGCAAGGGCCCTTTTGGGGCTTTGGTATTTTGAGCTAGGTTTTACGGCTTCAGTCCGGTAACCGAGAGCGAATTTTTAAATTCCTCGGATTGAATTTTGACTAGGACTATAAGAGGAGTCTTTGATGATTTTTATTGGTCAACATTACAGTGGATTCAGGGATAACAGGATGATGAAGGGAATAAGGGTTGATATTTTTAATTTTTTTTTTACGGCCGTAATTTAAGGGTTGATACTTGATATTAAGCCGTGGGATTAGGGGGCTTTGATACACTATTACACTTGTCGTGTTTTGGAGAGTATTGTGGCTATAGATGTCTTGGGTTGGGTTAGTTTATGACACAACACGACATAAGTTAGGAGGAACAAAAGTACGATACGGTTATGATACATTGATATGTTATTGTTTGTGTTAGGTTATGGGTTATGCCTTTTTAAAACACGACATTATAAAAAAGGTAAAATAAGTTATACGTATTTGACTTAGGTAGGCAAATAATGGTACATCAGCACATGTGCTCTAAGGTTGCTTGAGTTGCACTTTTGACAGGTAACTTATGCAAGTTTTGTACATCTTTTAAATTTTTTAATATAGTATACAATTATGAGCTAAACTAGATTGATATCCTATATTAACAAAAACATGTTAATATCACCAAAATTCCTCTCTCCTCCCCTCACATGGATATTTTTTTCCTGCTCCCTCCTCCATTCCCATGGCCACTACTTCCTTCTATCTCCTTCCCTCCTATGGTCATGCCCAAAATCGACCACCTTGACGGATCTAATGCGGTCAGCCTGTCGGCCGACCAACATAAGACACCCTAATACAAATTATGAAAATTGGGCCTATACTAACCCCTTAGGAAAAGGGATTATCTCATACTGATGGTGTTGCGGCAATCGGATGGTGGTGCTAACGGTCTTGCGATGGTTGGTTGGTGTTACTAGAGTTTGTATGGTTGTTGACTGGTGAAGCTAAAGGTTGTGCGATGGTCAGCTGGGGTCGAATGGTGAAGCTAAAGGTCATTTGGTGAAGCCAAAGGTTGTGCGGTGGTGCAATTGATAGAGGGGCGAGAAAGGGGGTGTGGTTGCTAAATTTACAAAATTATCCTTGGTGTGGCTACTAAATTTACAAAATGAACCTTAATATTAACAATTTTTGTTAAAATAGGATATCAACTTGTATTTTCTCTACAAATTCAAGCAAAATGTAGCAATAATAGTACTAATTTATGTCATTCTATGCTTAATTAACATTGCTTTTTTTATATGAGTTGGGTCTTATTTCAAAAACGCTCAAACACCAACTGCAAACTCCAAACTAGAAACTCCTATTTCTTATTTAAATTTCTTCTTTTCTTAAGAACCGCCTAAGAAACCCCCATTATTGATGCTCTTATCTGACCACGAAAATTTTGAAAGGACTCCAACAAAAGATAATGGTTAACTGATTACATGATTTAGTACACATTACATGGTATTTCATAGTCCATAGTATATAACCCAAAAATATCTAGTTATAATTTTTAGGAAAATTTGGATTTTGGTACCTCGAAAATGGGGGTAATTGAATTTTAGTACCCATCTAAAATTTTATTTTAAATTGGTACCTCAAAAATGACTAAACTATAGATATCAGTACCTCCGTTAGCATTCTGTCAACTTTGTCGTTAGTAGGTCCCATTATCTAATTATTTAATAATTTAATTTATTAAAAAAAAGAAAAAACATTTAATTAAAAAAAACTTAAAAAATAATTAAAAAAAAACTTTAAAAAAATAATAGTACCCCGCCACCCAGCCCTGCCTCCCCGCGCCGACGCCACCCCCCACCCACCTGATCTGAAAACCACCACATCGAAAACCCCCTCCCTTTCCCGTCGCCGATTTCCCTCCTCTTTCTCACTCTTGGCTGCCTCGACATCACCCCTTCCCCCTTTCCCCCAAATCAATTTTTAGGGTTTTAGGGTTAAATTTCTGGGTTGTGGGTGGTGGGTTTCAGGGTTCGTGGGTGGTAGGGTGATGGGTTTCTGGGTTCGTGGGTTGTGGGTGGTGGGTTTAGGGTTCGTGGGTGGTGGGGTTGTGGGTTTCGGGGGATCGTGGGTGGTGGGGTGTGGTGGGTTCGTGGGTGGTGGGTTTCTGGGTTCTTGGGTTCGTGGGTGGTGGGTTTATTGGCACCCCTGCCTGGCCGCGGCGGCAGTTGCTGTGGCTAGGCTTCGTGCCTGGCCGCGGCAGCAGCTGCTGTGGCTGGGCTTCGTGCCTAGTCGCGGCGGCAGCTGCCGTGGCTTGGTGGTCGCCGTTGGCTGGAATAAGGAGGGAAGCGTGACTGGTGGTTTTTTTTTTATTTTATAAGTTTTTTTTTGTTTTTTTATTTTAAAAATGTTTTTTTTAATAATTTAAATTATTAAATAATTAGATAATGGACCCCACTAACGAAAAACTTAACGGAACATGGACGGAGGTACCAAAACCTATAAAGTTACACTTTTGGAGGTACCAATTTAAAATAAAATTTTAGATGGGTACTAAAATTCAATTACCCCCATATTCGAGGTACCAAAATTCAAATTTTCCTAATTTTTAAAGGTTGTCAAAAATGTTTTACTTGTAAAAAAAATAATTGAAAACGAAGAAGATAATGTCTTATCTAGTTATCTTGGATCATCACTAGTTTTGTGTGGTTAGGAAAACAATTGATTGAAAATGAAGTGTAAGATAAAGAATAACCATTGATATCGTTGAGAGGGAAAAAAACAAACAGGTCCAGGATTAGCATTTTGCAATCAATAAGCCCTAGCAAATGAAACAATATCAACCATAAGAAAGAATACTTGGTGCAATATCACTTTAGTTACACAATCAATCTCAACTATTTCATTTTCACTTATTATATAGTACAATATGTTACATATCTATGTACAAGATTCGGCCATATATTAGAGAACTAACAGTCTAACAGGCCTTTTACAGCTACAGTTTCAGCTTCACAGCTTCATTTCACTATCTATCTTACACTTGACAACAGAAAACATACCAAAAAAAAAAAAAAACCACCGAATAATGCATCATTTCTCGCAGTCAGATATACTGTAAGTAAACCCGACAACTCCTTTGTTACTACATATACAAGCAAATTAGGCCAAGAACTGGTAGGGATTAATTGTTGATCTCAGGAAAAGGGAAGAAAAGGATATCATATACAGAAAAAATTGAGTTGTCATGTATAGTTAGGATCTCCCAAGAAAAATCTGCGTCTCAGTCAAGGCTTGATGAGCGACTCCACCTGCCTCGGAGGTACTCTTCAAGTGAAACGTGTTGCTCCAAGCTGCTCACGGAGAGAGAATCATCCTCGACATCAAGCAATGCTAGACTAAGGTGTGACTGGAGATCAATCTGTGTAAGACCATCCTCGTCCTGCCTGTCAATGTTGTCTGAAGCGTTGACTTGGAACCTTGCCCATTTTATAGTATCAGGGTCTCCTTGCAGGAGCTTCAGTATCTGTCTCGACCAAGAATAGCAAATTAGAAAGAATGAATACAATCGTTCAAATAAACACAAAATTAGAAATTTGAAATAAAACAAAAAAGGTATATGAAACATGTAAGATACGAGGGACTAAATTTGTGCCAATCTATCTCACAAAAATAGTGATATGCTTCTGTATGAGTATGACTACTAAATGAAGTTTTAAGAGAAAAATAACTTCCGAGTAAAAGAGATACGGGTTAAGACCTTATTTTTACCATAACTATATTCAAGGGAAAAAAGACGTTCACAAAAACAAAAAAATATGCAGCTTGTAGATATTTGTTCTCTCTAAGGATGGCAATGAACAAAGCCTGACCCTCAGTCCTACCTCAGGGAACTTCCCAGATCAGTCACAAACTTAAATATTTACCAATACAGTACATGGAAATACAGCTTGTGGACATAAAAATGAGACTTTAAAGTGCTTTAGTTGTAATCCTTGTAAATTCAACTTCTAAGCATAAATCAAATTGCAACTTACAACTCTCATATGAGGCCGAGCTCGTGGTGTCCGTCTGATGCAAAGGGTAGCAGCCAAAACCATTCGTTCAATCTGGTCTTGGTTATAATTACTGCCCAAGCAAGGGTCTAGCAACTTGGAAACTTTACCGCCATTTAGAATTGGCTTAGCCTGATGACAATGAACACTCGTTATATTGAGATGAAAAATCAAAACATAATGCACAATGGAGAGAATCCATACAGGAACAGGAAGAGTAACCTACCCACATAACTAGGCTCTCTTCACCTTTTGGTAACTCATTGCTTATGGGTTTTCTTCCTGAGAGAAGCTCAAGAAGCACAACCCCGAATGCAAAGACATCAATTTTGTCCGTCACTTTGCCGTACATGAAGTATTCAGGAGCCAAGTAACTGCAACGATTAAACACATTTCAAATTATGCACCAACAATTAAATTATTTATACATGCAGGAAAAGGTGCAAAATTATAAAATCATGTTTCAAAAGGTTAAAAGCAAGTTCACATGTAGTGATGGTTACAGAAAACAAAGACAAAATTTAGAAGTTTCCGAATACAGACCCAAATGTTCCAGCCACATCCGTACATGTAATATGTGAAGAAGTTGATGCCCACTTAGCAAATCCAAAATCAGAGAGCTGAAGACAATAGAAGCAATAAGTCCATGAGCATCCATAAAAAGAGAAACCAGAAACATTTGCACAACAAGTTACATAGCTCATTACCCGTGGTTCAAAATCCTTAGACAACAATATATTTGATGACTTCACATCCCTATGAATTATTTGTTGACTGCTATTATTGTGAAGATAATAAAGCGCCTCAGCCACACCCAATGCCACCTTGAACCTCTCATTGCAACCAAATGCAACAGGGTCTTTTTTGTCGCCTGCAAATAATTATTGAACTATTTATTGATATCACATCCAACTATACACAGCTTCTAATAACATCATGATTAAAGAAATGCTTGATCAGCAAACTACCATGAAGATTCTCTTCGAGGCTTCCTCTGGATAAAAGATCATAGACCAGTAGAAGGTTACTATCCTCAAAACAGAACCCAAAGAGGGAGATTATATTCTTATGATGTAAGGAAGTAATTATCTTAATTTCCATCATAAATTCCTGTAACACGTCCTCAGAAGGTTTTAAAATTTTCACTGCCAATTCTTTGCCATCAGAAAGAGTACCTCGATAAACCCAACTACTGCCTCCTTTTCCAATCAAATTATCTGTAAGCAACAAATTATAAATCATTATGCACTATAATGATTATCTACATGATCATTGAAATGGAAAAAAATGGTGTCAGAAGTCAAACCAGGCATGAAGTTTGATGTTGCTGACTGAAGCTCCTCATACTTAAACAACCTACATGTTGAGGAATACCTCTCATGAAGACCTTCCAATTCTCTGAGTGCACTTCTAGAATCTTCATCCAGAGTGTGAGATGGGATTTCAGTGCTAGATGGAACCATACCATTATTCTGTACT